ACAGGGCAATCAAGGCTCATTTGGGGAAGAAGAGATTGAGCTTTCATTCTTCATCCAAATCACCTCTACCTGCTCAAAATGATGTATAATACATAAGGATCAAAAGTGATTAAAATCCTTATGAATTTAATCAGAAATTCACAGTTAACCACTATTTGCTTTGGTGCAAATCGATGTGGAATAACAATCATGTGTATCTGCAATTTTTTTTTAACTTGTGGGAAATTTGCTGGTGATTTGTGGGGGGAAGTTGGGGGGAGAGGGGGCATTGAAAGGGAAGAAAAGAAGGAAGGAAGCAATTGAAAGAAGCCTCCCCCAGGCCCCCAGGGGGTGCCCTCGGCAGTCCCACGGACCGCTCTGCTCCGCACGGCGGGCCTTCGGTGTTGCTATTAGGGGCAGGAGGAAGTTCTAATCACAGCGCCCGTGTGCGCCCTCTGCTTTAACTGCCGCGTTCTCTCCATTGTTTCTCACCTCGAATCACGTGTTTGGGTTTCAAGCTCCCTCCGCCCCTTCCACACTGTCTTTCATTTTCTGAATTACGTCCCATAAAGTCAGCCTACTGGATCCTTTTGACTACAGACAAGCACTTCGGGAAGAAGAGAGGCGGCTGCCCCCCACCCTCCCCGGAGGAGAGAAAAGGCCAAACTAAGAGATGGCAGTGGAGCCCTCACCGTGCGCTCGGCGTTGGGGACCTTTTTGTAGAAGGTTTTCTCCGTGTCTCCGATCCACACCACGGACGGCTGGAGCTGCCGGGCCACCTGCAAGGAGAAGGGGGAGGCTCGGCTGTCAACGCTGCTCCCTCTGGGGTGCGCGCGCCGCCCCAGCTCCAGGGCTCCCGAGGTCAGCTCTCGGGGGCGGGGCCTCGCGGGCTCCGGTGCACGTGCGCGGCTGTACCCCTCCTTCACCGCGGGATGGGGCGCCAGGGCCTCATCCCGCTCGAGGTCTTCACGTTCTGCTCTGCGGCTGAGAGCACCGACTCTGTTTGGCTTGAAATAAGCAACGGTTTTACGCTGCAAATGGTTTTACGCTGCAAATGGTGTCCATCCATACACGAATCGCGGCGGGGGGCGGGGCCGAGCCACACGTTTACGCAGGTTCGCTCATCGTGAGAAAAGCGGTTTCAGCACCAGGGCCCCTGGGATGCCACGTGTTCCTCTCCGTGCGGCTCTGCCTTTGTGACCCTGGAGCCCCTCCAGGACGGGCAGGGCTTTGTGACGGCGCGGGGCCTTGCCGCGGGCGCACGAATAATTGCCACACACCTAACAATCCCTTCGAAGCACCCCCATGAGAGCGAAGTTCGGGGATTTTTGCAACAATTTGCGCTTTGTGCAAAATCGTGACGGTAACAGCCATCTCCAGCCACGGCGAATTCAGCGTTATGTCCGCTTGCTTTTATGTTTCTCAAAACATCATTAAGGCAGTGGGCATGGTTTTAAAGCAAGACAGACGTTTAATAAATGATGGAAAGATCACTAGGAACCCAGCCCTGTCTGTTTCCCCAGCGTGACGTGCCAGCTGAAGCAGATTATGAACGTTCAGAGACCCAAGTGGACTTAACTTGACCCCGGTACCGGTCTGACACCGGGCCGTTGGCGTTCACAGCCGCACACACGCCAGGACGCTCAGACACAAACACGGAACTGGCCCGCCACTGTCTGGCTGGCATTATTTTTTAGACCCAGAGCCACAGAGTTTAAGAATTCAGAACTTCAAGTTTTAGCCCCAGTGCCCCAGGCGGCGTGGCGTGATGTGCGCATCACAGCAGCTAGCGAGCAGCCGTGTGCCAGGCCTGGACCACGTGCGTCGCACATGGCATCGCACGCCCGGTCGGGGCCAGCGTGGTCCTAGCGTGTCCTGTTCACCCTCTCTACTACCCTGTGAAACAGGTGCCATAATCATCAACCCCGTTTACAGGTGGGAAAACCGAGGCTCAACGATGTTAAGGGACCTGTCCGAGGCGACACAGCTAGAAAGTGACCGGTAGGGTGCTCGGGCATACCCACAGGTTCCTGCACTTACTTGAGCCACAGACCTGAGCATCCACCCCGCCTCACCTCCCATGTCTCACGACTCTAAAGCCCGTCCATCACCTCCTGATCTCCTTCGACCCCATCGTTCGTCCCTTCTCTTGGCTCCTTACCCTCAGCCCCCAATTCCTTCCAACGTGGCCACCCACTGCGGTGGGAGAGGCCCTGCTCCGTGTGTGTGGGGGCAGCTCCGAGAAACCACTGTCCCACTAACAGCTATTTTCAAGTTGAAGTCAAAAGCTTCCCTACTTCTAGCCCCTAGAGAAAATAAGAAAATGAGGTTCGGGAAAAGTCCTAAGCTTCTTAGAAAAAAGATACTTTATTACAACAGAGGCGAAATCTTATTCTTTGCGGTCTCTCTTAAAAATCTTAGTTTAAGAACGAAGACCAATGGAAAAGCAATTTTCACATAAACGATCGTCCCCTGTGCTCGCCGAGGGCGGCCGTGGGTCCCTCCCCAGCTCCGTCCCTTTGGCGAGCAGCGGGTTTTCCGTAGTTTTCATTTGTATGTCTCCAGTCTTTCATTCCATCTTTTCTTAATGGCAATTGCAGACGCGAGGACCTGGGGTTCGAGGGTTACTTTTCTCTTTCTGCTTTTAACAAAGTAAGCCGCATGGGTGGGGAGGAAACACAGGGGTTTCATTAGCTTGGGATCATTTTGAAACCAACGGTCTTATTTCCAGCAGCTGATTAAAGGCAGTTTTGGAAACCTGGTCACACCGTTCCCTTGTGTAGCCGGGGCTCTTTCGGAGCTGGGGGGGCGTCCCACGCTTCCTGCGTTCCAGCCGCTGGGAACCAGCGCCTCTCCCAGGACCAACCCCTGCTCCGGGATGCGCACGGCTGCGTGGGGGACTTGGGTGGTGACGTGGTTTGGAAGGGCTCAGTTATTATTGAATGAAACAGAAAACATTTCCCAACAGGGTTTTTTGACAATAGTGAGACAGGAAACGTTTCCCAAATGCCTCGACCTCCAGCGCTATTTCTACCCGCGATCGCCCTGTGCCATGCGCTGTGCCAAGCACGTCCCGCACCTTCTCCCCTTTTACAGATGAGGTCACTGAGGCAGAGGGGTAAGTGACATGCCTCCCCCCCGGCCTCGAGGAGAGGAGGGGCCAGGAGTCGGAGCCGGTTTGCTCCCCCCGCCCAGCCCTGCGCCACAGCCACGCAGCACACCGCTGCGCCGGAGGGTGTGTGTTCGTCACACATTGGCACGCTTCGCCAGCCTGCTGTCCTGGAGGTGGTTCTCACACATTCCAGCCACGAGAAAGCGGGTCTGTTTCTCCACACTCTTCTCCTCAACGAGTATTAACAACAAAAAACTCTTCGCCAATTTGTTAATGAAAAATGGAATCCTTGGCTCGTTTCATTTTTCATTTAGCAATGAAAAGGCTTCATTTAAATTATCCACGGATAGTTTGAGGTCGTGGACAATTAGATGGAATTAATTCATAATAGAACTTCTCAAAAGGGACACGGGACCATTCGCGTCGACTGCCAGCAGAGGGCTCTTCGGTCCTATCAAATGTCATTACAGGTTTCAATTTTGTGTCAACTCTAGAAGATGAATTTCTATCAACATGTGCCTTTTCAGATTCTGGGAAGCTCTATTAAAAATTAAAGACTTCTCCACCTGTGTGAGTTTTATGGATTTTATCCTTTGTATTCTCTAAAGGAACAACATCGAACACTCACCACCAGAATTAGACCCCCTCGGGTTAGGATATAATGGCTCAACAATGAAGACCTGTTTGCGTTTGGTTAATAAGATCCGCCTAAACAACCCTTGGGAGCACTGGAAGTTTTTTCTGAAGGGTCCTATTTTGCTTGCCATAAAGAAGCCAGGAAAAAACAAGCTGCTTTTTTCAGTGGTTGTGTCTCAGTTTACCAAACTGAAAAGGTAAACTCTCCATCCATCCATCCATCCACTCACCCACCCACCAACCTATCCATCCACCCACCCACCCATTTACCCATCCATCCATCTACCCACCTGTCCATCCATCTGCCCACTCACCCATCCACTCACCCACTCGTCTGTCTGTCCATCCATACATTTATCCATCCATCCACCCACCTGCCCATCCATCCACCCACCTGTCCATCTATTAACCCACCTGCCCATCCACCCACCCACTCGTCTGTCTGTCCATCCATACATTTATCCATCCATCCACCCACCTGTCCATCCATCCACCCACCTGCCCATCCACACACCCACTCGTCTGTCTGTCCGTCCATCCATCCATCCATCCATCCATCCATCCATCCATCCATCCATCTACCCATCACACACATATTTGCTGAGCACCTGCGGTGTGCCAGGCTCCCTGGTGTGAGGCGGCGGATGTCTGGATACGGAGCGACAATGGGCTCTGCTTGCAGAGTGCGGAGCTTCCTGTGACTGGGTGGGAGCTGCTGGCTGTGGGAACGGGAGGGGCTCGCTTTCCCGGCCTGTAGTCGCCAGGAGTCTGTTTAAATACTTAATACGTGGAGACATTTTGGTTGGTGTTTCCACTATTTTAAGTGATATTTAAAATTTCCCTTTCCTCGCAGTACCTTTTCTGAGACTGTGTAAGTTACTGCAAGTCCTGACTGGGTATTAGTTGGGATAAACCACAAATGACTAAGAGTCCGGAGCCCAGCTGGGCTGACTTGGTAAGAGAGGAAGGTAAACCGAGGTGGTGGAGGGGAGCAGGTGGGGGCCGGGAGGGCAGGCGCCGGTGACGGACTGTGACAGGTGATGTGGGGCACCAGCACTAGTAACAGGGACACACTGCTGCTGACAGCCAGGCCGTGTTCCAGAGGAAGGTGTCTGGAGAGTGACGGGCGTCAGGCTGACAAAGCTGGACTTTCCTCCAAATCCCCATCTCTTCCCAGCCCACTCCCCGCGATGCTTGGTGGCAGACGGCACAGCTGTGCCACCTGCGAGAAGCTCGGGGTTTCCGCCAGTGTGCGAGGCCGTACTCAACCCCACACGGCGCGTTTCGGCCACACTGAGGGCACCTCCCCCCAGTGTCTCCGCATTGGTTAAAAGTCCTTTAACTCCTGCGGCATTGACCCTGGTCCCAGGCTCATCCCCGCCACCCAGTATAGCAATGCACGCGGCACTGATGGGGCTCGGTGGCCCACAGAGTGCCCTCGCATCCCTTGCTGGTGGACGGCGCCCGGGGTGCCCACAGCCTGCGGCCCTCACCCCTCGGAGCCCACCCTGTCCTCTGTGGGTGCGTGGGAACTTCCTGCACGGCCGCTCGATTTTGCTGTGAACCTGAAACTGCTTTAAAATATAGTCTGTGTAAAAAAAAGACCAGTTTCGATGTCTACGTGTGCTCCCTCCTCAACCCGAAACTCTCCACGACATAGCGCAAGGCCATCTGGCTTTCTAACTGTGTCCCCACTCAGGACCTGCGGTCACCAGCCCCTCCCTGCCTCCGTTTTCAAACCCGATGCTGCTCCCTCTCCCTCTCTCTCCCTTGAGCAGCTTTCTCTTTCTTTTTGGGGGGTCAGCTGTAGGTCTTTGCTTTATCCCTATTGAATTTCACCTTGTAAAGGTGAGACTAATGTATTTATTACATTTATTACACATCTGCGCGTGTGTATTTTTTTAAGTCGCCCACAATTAGCAACGCTGCCTTTGTTCAGGTCATTAACCGGGAGTGGAAGTCTGCACGAGCTATGCAAACACAACCGGCTGGGCTCCCCGTGCCCGGCTCCTGGCCCGCCGTCCACACCGCTGCATCTGGGCGAGATCCCTTGGCACGCTGCCAGGGGCCATTGGCTGTGAGCCCGGTGAGGACCCCTGGAGGGTGGCCCCGAGGTAAGAGCAGCAACACGGCCTCCCTTTGTCCCGCCCCGCAGGCCAGGATGGGCCACGTGGCCTAGAGGCGACACTGGCCAGGCAGCCCCCTTAGCCTGTTCCCCCAGCCTCACTCCAGGTCCAGCCCGCAGTGGCCAGACCACGTGCGCTGGAAGAGGACGCAAGGACCACAGGGGGCAGAGAGAACTTCTCTTCCAAGACCCAGAGCCCAGGAGCAGAAACTGTCCCCTCCCGGGCCTCTTCTCCTGGGCTCCGCTGGTGTCCGCCTGGCCTTCTCACGGGAGGCCTGGAGGGTCAGGGAGGAAGGGACACAGGACTCAGGAAGCAGTGGCATCCTACCGAGAGTGGCAACGAGATCCAACAACTTCCGGTTCCTTCACCTTCTCACGCGGATATGCCGCAAGCTGACCTTGACCCAGGAGGGGAGGCTTCACTGTCCTGCAGGCCAGCCGGGGGTCTTGTGGTGGCTTTGGAGACAGACTGAGGCTTAAATCTACTTGCTTGCCTCTTAGTTCTTTTGTATTTTTTGGTCACATTAAGCGCTCTGAGCCTCAGTGTTCTCATCTGTAAATGGGGACGCTAAGCCTGCCCCCCGAGGATGTGGCATGTAAATGGGGACACTAACTCCTGCCCCCCCTGGGATGTGGTACGAGGAAGGAAAGTGTGTACAGAGCTCCCAGCTTGCACCTGACCCCAGGCCAGAGGTCGAGGAGTCTTTCCTGCCCGCCCGTACCGATTTATTGTGAAAACCCGAGGAGGCTGGGCCACCGTGCGTGGGGGACAGGGGGTGGCGTCACCTTCTAACTTCTTTTGTCCACAAAATACCTATTAAATATTAATCACTCATCCCATTTCTTAATGGGTTAGATGACTACATTTCTAATATTTCCTTGTAGGAAATATTACGTATGTTCTTTTCCACCTACAGCTTTAGTAGAAGAGAGAGTTTTAAATAATAGTTGTTCCCTTGTGCAGTAAACATGTTTCTCAAAGGACGCCCACCACCCCAACTTGTTATCCTATTAGAGTTATTGCCTGTGAAATTAAGGAAGCCTCCAGAAATTAAGGTAACGAAATGGATCTGAATTTGTGGCTGTGAAACAAATGAGTGTGTTTTCGCATGGGGAGGGTGTTGGGGGTGGAGCGCTGTCACCAGCCAGAAAGGAACTGCCGAGCGGTCTCCCACCTGCGGCCGCCTTTACCCTCTGTGGATTAATTCAGGAATTCCTTATGAGAGGAGGAGTCATCATGCCTCCTGTTAGTTCACCTTCTGGCAAGTGCCACAGATCTTGATTTTGCTGTGCTCAAGCCAGGACCCCCGTCCCATGGCTCACGTGACACAGGACGCACGACGCCTTCCTCCACTGACCCTCAGCATGCATGTCTCATCTCCCTTTCCTTTGGTTAATTAAAAGCAAATGGCTCTTTGCTCTGTCGCTCATGCCAGGACGCAGTGGCCTCACTGCACACGATTTATAATTGAATGACTCCCCCTCCTGGGCCTAGGGATCTTCCATGAATCGATTATATACACAGGAAAGGTAAGGCTTAATGTGGTGCCCGTCAGGCTCTCTGACGTGGCGTGGCTTCGGCGGATAAATGTGCTGTTCCAAAATAGTCTGACACCTTGCATTTTGTGGTCCGCGTACGGTCGGTTTGCAATGATTCTAATAAATGCGAGAATAGTTTATCCAATATCAAAAAAGCACTCCTCCGCGGCAGAAACATATACATTTCCTGAGCATGAGAACGTCACGGTCCTGTCGTCACACCAGGAGCACCGGGCCGTTTGGTGGGTGGGAGAAGACAGGCTTAATTCAGCCCGACTTCGGTGAGAGGCCGGGTAACGCAAGTGTTAAAGCTGCAGGTTCTGGGCGCAGACCGCTGGGCTCGTGTCACGGCACCGCAGCCCAGGAAACGACTTAAGCGCTATGTGCCGCAGACAGCGGAGTAACATCTTTAAAGGGCTGAAAGAAACATGTGTCAACCCAGAATTCGATACCCAGCGAAACTGTCCTTTACAAATGGAGAGAGGGTAAAGACATTCTGAAATAAATAAGAGAAAAGCTAAGAAAATCTGCTGCCATCAGACCTGCACTAAAATTAACAGGAAAGGAAGTCCGTTAGCCGAAAGGGAACATGATGCCAAGTGGAAAGGCAGATGAACAGAAAGGAATGAAGAAGACTGAAAACGTGTGCATAAGGGTAAAATACTAATTTCTTCCTTCTTAATTTCTTTAAAAGACCAATCACTATTGAATACAACGGTAACAACACTCTATTGTACTCGTAACATTTCTAGATACAAAACTGATTAAAACATAAAGGACGAGGGATAATAAGTGGATTATATTTTCGGAAGGTTTCACATTTTATGTAAGATAGTACCGTATTAAACCTATGCGGATTGCGATAAATTAAAAATGACTTGTGATCCGAAGAGCAATCGCTAAAAAACGAGTCATTGCTAAAAAGACAATAGAGGAATTCAAATAATATACCAGTACCGAGTTTTAATTCAGAAGAAGGCAGGAAAGGAGAAATAGAAGAAGGAAAAGGAACAAATGGAGAGAAAAGGGGAAAACGGCAGACCTAACTCGACCACGGGAATAACCGCACTTAACACAAGTGAAGCGGATGCTCCGATTTAATGACACACACGTCGGAGCGAAGAAGGAAGCAAGACCCAGCTGCGCGCTTGCCTGAGAAACGCCTTTCACTATACAGACGTGGGCACCGAGAATAAAGGAAGCACCGTGCTCTAGTCACATCAGACCAGGTAGATAGACTTCAAGACAAGGAGTATGACTGGGAACAAAAAGGACATTTCATGAGGATAAAACCACCGGGAAGATAGAACCGTCCTACACGAGTTGCATCTTGTAACAGGTCTTCAGCATACACGGGACAAAAACTGACAGAACCAAAGGGAGAAATCTAGAATCCCACAACCCCGGTTGGAGTTTTAACACCTGCTTTCAGCAGCTGATAGAACAAGTAAAAAATAAAAATAAGGAAATGAAAAAGCAAGTCACAGAGAGAAACATTTGCAATCTGTACGTCCAACAAAGAACTGGTATCCGGAATATATAAAGAACTCTTGCAGATCACAAGGCCAATAGTCTAGTGAAAACGAGGCAAATGGCACGAACAGATATTTCAAAAAGTCATTCAAGGGACCAAAAAGCACATGAAAATGGTGGCTACACAAAAAGTGGTTGCGTACATCTTTCAAAACGCACACTGAAAATGCGTACCTAAGATCTGTCCATTTCGCTGAGTGTGAATTTTACCTTAATAAAAATAGTGCAGGAGGACCTGGAAGAGAAGGACCCCGGCTTGGATCCTGGCTCAGCCACTGGACCTCGGCTGCCTTAGGCACATCACTGAACCCCTCAGAAGCCACACTTTCTCTGCCTGTAGGATGGGGATGAGGACCCTTCGCTGGGCTGGTGAGGAGGTTCCACATAACGTCACAGAGATGTGGGACCTCTAGTCCCAGTGAGATGCTCTGTTAAAGAGTTTCGTGGTCTTTCTTTAGCCCCGCCCACCTCCCTCTTTGCCCGCCTCCCAGCTCTTCAAAATTCTCTCTCCACGGCTTCTTGCGGGACAGGCGAGGGGAAAGGGAAAGCGGGGACACCCCCGCTCGCTGTCCTGCCAGGGTCCACGCGGCTAAGGGAAGAAACCGCCCTGCGCGCACGGCCTTACTGTGGCCGTGAGGGTGACACGGAAGAGGGACCATTCTAATGAGCGACCTTGACGGGAGCCAGCTCCTGTGCCCCAATGTCCAGTCCCAAGTGTGGGGACAGCCCTTGCCACGCGACACTTTGATACAGCGAAAGCTGGCTTATCTGGCGTTCCAGCAACTAAAAATGATGGACAGCATGAAGTTGACCTTGAGGTACTCGAGCAAATGAAGCTGAAATCCTGTGAAGTTCTAATATTATATATAAGTCTTCCATATCAAAATGCTTTGAAAGCTGGTAATCTTTGGACTTCAAGACAAGGAGTATGACTAGACTTCAAGACAAGGAGTATGACTTGTATAATAGAGCGTCTGCCTCTGCCTCCTCAGGTTCTGTCAGACAAGGAGTATGACACGTATAATACACGTATATGTGTATTATTTGTGTGTGTGTATCTATGTCATCTATCATCTATCATCTATCTATCTACCATCTCTACTATCTATCTACTATCTATCTAATCTATCATCTATCTATCTAATCTATCATCTATCTATCTATCTATCTATCATCTATCACCATCATCATCTATATCTAAATTGCATCAGAGGATCACCGCTTTAGGGCTGAGAGAGCACCTCGTATCGTTTGCTCTGACTGGATCATCTTGGGGCTGATACACAGAGACCCAGGGAGGCAAGCTGCTTGTCTAAGATCGCAGAGCTGGGTGGTGCGTGGGTCTCTTAGGACACCCCGTCCCTGGCTTGCGATATAATGAGCATTTACATTACTGCAGTGGACTCGGCTTCCTCCATATTACCTGAGCCCATGTGCAGAGGGTACTATGCCTTGGCAACTCATGCCATGTGAGAAAGAACACCCCCGAGCCCAAATGTCCGACGTCATTTTCGAAGGGAAGTGGGCTGAAAAAAGAAACTGGATTTAATTTCCAATGAGGTGTGGGAGTATTTCAGAAAGGGTTCCTGTGGGGAAAGGAGGCTGGTCTGGATGGCACAGTGGAGGGTGTTTATGCACAGAAAGAAGCCACGAGGAGTCACTGGGCGCTCACCAGATGCGCTAAGCAGGTGCTTTGCAGGAGGACGCGGTAGAGGGGTGCTCACGGCCGCCTAAGGAAAGCCCCCGGGGGCCTGTGCGAGACGACGATGGGCTCTGAAATCGTAACTGGAAAGCGGGGGGAAGCCAGAACCGGGGAGTGTGATAAATACCTTGAGGACCACGTGCAGCATCATTTGGAGGCCACTTTTGCCGGGGTACTTCCCGGCGATGTTAGCCGCAGACAGGTTGAAGAGGTTGGCTCCCGTTTCGGTGCAGATGGCGTGGACCAGCATCTTCTTCCCGACCCCCGACGGGCCGGCCAGCAGCAAGGACTTCACCAGAGGTGCGTTTTCATGCACGGCCGCAGAACCTGAGGAGGCAGAGGCAGACGCTCTAAAACCCCGCCGTGGAAGTCAGTGGCTCTGAGACTAGCATTCGTCAAGGCTGTGCTCCCACGGCGTGGCCCCGGCGTCTGTGACGGTCGCGATGGGTCTGAAGCATCGCTGACAGAGGCATATGCCTCTTGTCTCAGTGAAAACTAGATCTGCAGGTCAAGGCTCGAGGTGGAGCCACAGGGTCTCCTTGGGTGTTCGGTATGTGGCTTCCCCTCCACCCTTCACCCTAGGATTTCCCCCAGACTCCTAATTTTAAAGAACACTCCTGCAGTAATGTCCCGCCCGCGTTTCATAGGGGGAGGGGTTTCGAGGGGTTTCGAGGGGTTTCTCTGCTTGGCACAGCAGCGGCATGTCCTTTGGAAGTGAGGGAAGCGGCGTGGGGGTGGGCGGGAGGAAGGACTGACACGTGTCCATCGGCCACGGGGAAAGCCGGGAGCCGACTTCTCTCTCCTGCCTGGTTTCTAGCCTGTCGGTGGAGGCAGAGTCGACCCGACACTCGACCGTAAAGCGAACGGAATCGTCACGCAGTTGCGCAGAGGTCCGTGCCCCCTGCTCACTGTCACTCGTGGTCCACCTCCTCGGAGCCCAGATGGGGACTCGGCTTTGAGCATCTTCCGGGGTCCTGACCGCACGCGGAGCACGCGGTGCCGAAGTGAACGGACTCGCCCCGGAAGGGCCGTGGCTGAAGCACCTGCCCCGTCATTCTGCCTTCGGCAAACTGCCGGGCGCTTTCCCATCAGCCCAACGCGCATCCGCGTTCTCATTACGACTGCGCTTTTCCCTTTTCCTTCTTTCCTTCTGCAGTTGAGGAGGCGTCGTCGGTTGACCGAATAATTAGAAACCGCTGTTTCGGTTCCCCGGCATACGCCCCACGAACTTGGAAAGCAGTTTTGAGCGAGTCCTCTTTGAAATGAGTGAAGTAGGCTTTGTCCGCGGGGAGGGAGGGATAAAGGAGGCCCCGCTTTTCACGAAGGAGCGAGTCCGTTCACAGGGGCTCCCTCCCGTTCAGCGTCTGGGTCCTGAGGGCTGCTCGGCTCCTGGCCCCTGGGGGCCGCCGGGTTCCAGTGTGAAAAGTCAAGAATTGCTGTCATGAGGCTGTGGTGCAAAGGGCCTGACCTGGGTGCCTGTGACAGTGCCACGAGCCGTGAGCACCGCAGAGCCCAGAGAAGATGCCAGCGCCAGCCGGGGGTGCTGAGGCGGGTGGCCCTCCGGGAGGAGGTGGCCTCTGCAGAACGGGAGGAGTTGGACCATGCAGTGAAGGGGACATCTGAGAGATTCCAGGTGAGGGGACACGGGGACCGCAGGTGTGGCGTGGGGAGGCAGGTGAGGGACTGGAGATCATTCTCATTGGTGACGTGGCAGGGGACGGCAAGGAGGTGAGTGATGCCAGATGTGGGGGTCCCCGGAAGTCCCCAGAGTGCGGGCTGAGGCCAGGGGCTGGAGAGAGGCTCCTGGGAGGGGTGCAGGGAGACGGTGGGGGGAGACCCAGGAGAAGGTGGGGGGAGACCCAGGAGAAGGTGCCCATTTATTCCGGGGACACACTTTCCAGGAGCGGGGCTCGCAAGGTTGGGCAGAAGGGTAAAGAGGGGGATCTGGGAGGGGGCTGCACACGGGGCCTCTCTGACCTCTGGAGGGCTGATGGGGGAGGCGTCAGGGAGGTGGTGGGGACACGCTGACCACAGTGTCCATGGCTTTTCCTGCCCATCTCAGCTTCCGATGGCAGTTTTTTAAAAACACACGTCGAATTACTAAGAGTAAATCTCCAGGCTTTTCAGTTTTCCAATGACTGGAGTCAGGAGTTGGCTGGTGCTCCGTGTCCTTGGCCATTTCTGTTCCTTCCTGGCCCTGGACTTGAAGCCTTACTCATCTGGAAAGGCAGGTTCAAGGTCCACCCGGCGGGCTCTGCTGGGAACTGAAACCAGTGGGTCCAACTCCCGACCGGGCGGTTTCTGCACGGTCAGCGTCCGTCCCTCTTCTCCTCGGGGACAGTAGCAGCTCCGGGAGGGCGGGCAGACACTGACCAGGCGCTTCCTGGACACCCTTCTCTCACTCAGGGGCCTTTGGAAGCCCTAACCTCGTCCTGGGAGCCCAGGCTGGGGGTCGTGACGGCACGGAGGCCCACGGAGCCTGTGTCGCCTGGCCAGGGGCGGAGCGTGGCCTTGACAAGAGTCCTCGGTGTCCTCTGCCCAGCGGTGGCGACCTGGACCATCAGCGCCGACACACACATTCCTTCTCGTGACGTTTGAGATGTAAACGAGGCACTCGAAGGCAGGTCCGGGAACGAACTCCTCTGTCTGTCCCTGTCCCCATGGCAAACACACATGCCGGCTGGGAGAACAAACGCCAGCCAGCTCTGGGGCCGGGGGTCAGCAGCCCAAGGGGACTTCGGGTTCCTACTGACAAAATGAGGGTGTGGGTGGGGTGCTTCTGAGCGCCCCGCTCCTGACGCTTTTAAGGCGGCTTGGGACCAGCATCCGTCACCTTGGATCCGTGAGCCGACGATGCGAGCACGTCACGCCCTCGCTTGCTAGGTGAGTCCTTGTCAGATCTTGGCACTTCTGGCTGCAGTGCCTCCCATTACATGCTGACAACATTCGAGAAGCTACTCTACTCATTTTATTTACACAGACCCATAGATATCATATATTTATTGTGTTGATCCCAAGTTATGCGGACCCCCAAAGTATTATCTGTTTATGTTAATAGATATATTTTTATTTACGTCAACCCCAAATTCAATTTACTACTTCTGACATTACGTTAAAAGAGGGGTGAACTATTTGTTGCCAATACGTTTAAGTTCTTATTTAAGACCGAGCGGAAGAATCTCCTAAGGGCCCGGACGAGTCCCATCTCATTTTAGAGCGAATTAAACAAAGAAAAGTCAGTGTCAACTTCAGCCTGGTCATTGGAGCACAGCCTGGTTGGCCTTTCAGCCGCTGCCCAGCTGACTCAGGTCATATATGTGTGACAGTCGTAAACACGGGCATAAAAGTGAATGACAGCAGCAGATGTCCCCGTCACGGGAGCTCGGATGACAGCAGCACACGTCCCCGTGACAGGAGTCCACCCCGGCACTCCTGGGCACTCTTGGGCACACAGCAGGGTGCTGGTCCGTGTGTCTGAGCAGGGGTGACCGTGTGTCAGCAGTTAGAGGGGCTTCGGTGTGGCCGGCAAGCTTTGGTCCTGAAGATCCACGAAATGCACTTGCGGTCCCTGGCGGGTGGGCTCTGTTAGGGACCTAGTGCCAGGTGCCCATGTGTACGAGGTGAGCCAGAACCTTAGCTCCCGGTCTGACCTGACAGATTTTAACGGCAGGTGCTTGCTTCGGCCGTTCTGTCTCCAGCTGGGTGCCGACAGGCCCTTCCACCCAGAATATGTGGCAGGCTCTCGGACGTGCTGCCCGGGGAGTGCCTTTAGGGGTGCTCTGGGGTGCGCGATGTCAGTGGAACCATCCCCACTCAGAATTCTCGGTGGGGAGAGTTAAGCCTCAATGTATGTGATGACAACCGGGAAGCCACTGTCGAAGCCAGTCCGCGGGGGCACCCCAGCTTCTAGAAGAGGCACGACGGGCCAATGATCTTTACCTAGTGGCAAGACCCCGTAGAGGGCGATGAGCTGTCTGACATCCAGGAGGGACGGCATCGGTTCTATGGAGAGGTGGCGCAGGGTGGTCCCCAGGTAGCTGTATTCGCCTGGGGGAGAGAAATAAGGCAGATGAGCGGGGAGACGCGCTGGCCTGAGCCACCTGGTTCCAGCGCCTGCAAAGTGAGCACAGAATGCGGGCTGCACATTCCTGGGCAGATGCAGCGTACGAGGGGGGTCGGTGAGATGAACACGTCCTTTCTCAGAGAAAGGCTTGAAAGCACTGTCAAAGCTCTGCTCCGCGGCACACGGACGGCGCTGTGTCGACGGTGAAACTAACCTCGCCTTTAAAATAACCTTTGAAGACTGGATTTGCGAAGTGGTACAAAATCCTAAAATGAGGCACACGCAGAGGAGTCTAAAATATATAAGGTTTTGCTGAGTTTATCCTCCAAGAGACTCTGTCTAACATTTGCACGGACCTTGAAAATAAATTATTTAAGGTCACGATGTGAAATCTGCACTGGAACAGTGTAAACCTGAGCCTAAAATGCAGTCATTTGAAAGGACGGTTATGAGTCTAATTTAGGATCAAAAGGAGCATCTCTCTTGGAGGGTAATATTCATTTACATTTTTATCATTTTTAAAGGACCACCAAAGGAATAATACAGAAATAAATCTTTACAGCTTTAATTAGAAGGCATCAAAGGGCTTAATTGTAACTAGTCATAAATCTGAAGTGTTATTTTCTAACTAATTTAGATAAGGTCACCAGGAAAATTAGTCTGGCTGTCTCCATTTGTCGAGAGGATGGACCTTCGCATGCTCATAAGCGTCTCTCTTGATTTGTACCTGAATCTGAAGGGAAAACATTCGACGCTCATTTTTCCTTCCCTCTAACAAGTATGGATCTTGGCCAAGCTGTCGATGCTATCTATACACATGCGAAAAATACATTTACGTGTGTATAAAAATACTGAAAAAATACACGTGTGTATGAAGTACTGAACAAGCTTTAAAGCACTTTCGAATGTTAAGGAAGCTGGAGTTGACAGCCAGACGCAGCCGCCGTTTTGCTGGGGAGGGCAGCCTTTCGAAGCTTCCATGTAAAAAATAAAAAAAGTCCTTGCCAAGGGCACGGGCATCGGTGGGGAGAAGGAGGGATGATGAGGGCTTCCATTATGGCTTCCGGTCCCCGCGCTTCTTAATGAGCAGGTCATAAATAGAAGGGCGGTTATTTCTCCTTCGCTAGCGTCGGAAGAGGTCCTGCCGCCGCCGTTCAATCCGGCGCTTACTGCTGCGAACGTGGCGGGAGAGGTGACATAAAGCGAAGCCCGTCTCCCGGCTTCCGAGCATCCACAGAAACGCGCGTCTTCTTGAGCCCCACGGACTTCATTCAGACAAATGCTATCGGGTTGAATTAGTGGGCGCTGGTTCTGATGGACGCAACCGGTCCGGGCTGTTCGCCGAGAGATGACACTCGCTCTGAAAGTGCATGACGATGTTCTGTCACCGCTGCCTAGCGTGGAGGCCACCAACCTGTCCCGGATACTCCGTCAGAACTCAGAAGCCTCTGGGTTCCCTGCACACACTCGGCTCTCCCACGAGGGAGGGAAGAGGAAACGGGGCCGGAAAGGTATTTTAGACAGAGGGCGTGAAAAAGGGGATGGACCGCGTTTCCTTAACATTCCTACGCTGCCCCGCTGGAGGTCCCCGCAGGCCCCGGGGGAGGGGCCCGCTATCGACAGTCAGATGACCGTCCAGACCCCTGAGCTCCCCGCCGGCTGGCTGCTCCTCCGCTGGGTCTGAAGGCGGGGGGCCGAGAATGGGACTGCGAAGTAGCCTTGATGTGGCCCAGTTCTGCAAAGGTGACCAGACTCGGGGCAAGGAGGGGTGAGGGAGCCTATGTGCCGGGGGGAAAATGCTATGGTTAAAAGAAACAGGTTGGCCAAGGCTTTATCTGAGAACAAGCACGAGGTTTCCATACGGGCCGCAGGATAAATAGCGACACTTAGGGAAGAACTTTTTGCCGTCCTTGGACAGATCAGAGGACGCCGCGCGGACAAACACGCCACCGACGGGGCTAAGCTCCGGCACAGACGGGCTTCTGGTGCCCACAGCTCATTCTTCGCTTCTTCAGGGAGGGCTCGTGGGCAAAAATTCTTAGTTCTGGCACCTGTATAAGTTTGGGTCCTGTATACTTGAAAATGAATGTGTCTGGCCACAGAATCTTTGAATCCTACTTACTTCCTTTCCTTGAGCATCTAAAATATATCGTGCCATTTACCTCTGGTATAAAACGGTGCAGTGGAGCGTGTGATGACCTCCTAATTTCCCTTCCATTACGAGCCATGTGGTCTTTTGTTGCATAAAGGCCCAAAGGATTTCTTTTCCCCTTTACTTTAAAGCCCGGTACTTTTACTAGAATACGCCACAGCGTTAGTCCGTTGGAACTGACGCCCTCAGGTACGCAGTGCGATCTCTCACTGTGCGTGGTCTGTGTTTCTGTTCTAGGGACGTCTTCATGAAGGTAGTTCTCAGCGTCTGTTCTGTTCCACTGCTTTGGATTTCGCTTTCAGGGGCTCGTATCTGTATGTTGGATCTTCTTTGCCCGTCTTCAGTATTCGTTATGTTGTTTTGACTCTTTTTAAGCTTGTTCTTCATTTCTAGTTTCATTTAAAAAATTCTATCTTTCACATTTTATTTCTCTGGAAGCACTGTTTGTTGACTTTATTCATTATAATTTAGCTTTTTTCTAAGATCATTTTTCCCTTTATTTCTAATATCCCTTTGGTTTTGGCAACTCATTTCTGAGTTTTTCTCTTTCTATTTTATATAGTCTTACATATCTTCCATAGTTTTTTAAGTATACATCAGCCTGGTTAGAAAGATAAGTCCAGTATGTCTGCTTTATGGGCATGTTTCTTCGTGCTGTTAATTTGTTTCTCATTTTTCCTTTTTCACAGAAACTTTGCATAGATTCGACCTTGAACTTTTCCATTGCTGAAATTTATGAGTTGATAGTCTTATATTTTTAGAAGATGATTTGCTTCAGGGTAGCTTTTCACATTCCATAGATCCCGGCTTCTGTTGTCTTTATGTACGTTAAAAGTTTGGTGGCCTTTTGAAGATGTGCTGGTTCTGTCCCCGCTCTCGCTTTTTTCTGGATCTTTTTTCTCTTTTATCTCTACGGTCCTCGTCCTGTTCCACTGTCATTGTGTTCCCAAGAGTTTCTTCTCCGTATAAGGCCCTGCCTGGGAAGGGAGCTGAGGCAGGTCGGTCACTTTTAAGAGTGCATAGAGACGAGACTGTTCTAGCTCCTGCTACATTCTCATCTTAACCCTTCGCACGCATCTGTCACCGAAATGGGCGAAAGCTCTCCTGGCTTCTGTCACAGTCACCACCTTGGCCCGCTGTACTTTCCAGGGAGTGCTTGCTGGTTATTGTGGGGTCCTGTCCTGTGTCCCCAGTGCCTGACACTTCGGGGTGTGAGGGGGAAACCTTGTCATTTAGTTTTGGCGCAGATGTCCACAAGTCTTTGTTTTTGCAATCTAGTTGTTCTGTTTTCGTGAGGGGACTTCGGAAGATCCACTGCCATCTTTCAGACTAAGGATCTTGACAGGAAAAAAAATAAGGAAACCATGGAAAAGACCAGAGGGAGACACAGCCCTTGTGGCAACGGGACTAATTCTGTTAGACCCGGTCGGTTTCGTCTGAGGTCACTCTTAGGTGGCTGACCCCATTCAGTTCGACCTTAGGCATCTTAGAGATGTTTCCTCGAAACTGATGGAGATCACTGAAAAAGTCCAAGATGATAATAAATTAATAAGAAGAGGAGAAATAGGGTTCTGTTAAAAATGTTACTTTTCATATTAACAGAATCGATAGAACATAATGAAGGGATTCCGGAGGAAAACCTTATACGGCTTGAACAAGAAACACGTAAAATAAATAGAAACCCGACACGTGTTCCAATCTACGTTCTGGTAAAATTCTTACATTTTTAGGAAATATGAGGACTCCTCCGAGTCCCCAAGAAGGAAACGTGGCTTTCTCTCAAAGGGATTAAAGGAATCATTTTTTTGGATCAAAGGAAGATGTCAGCCTTCTTGCTCCCAGAGGCCCGAACCGGGTCAGTGTAAACATAGGAATGAACAGGACGGAAATGGATGACCATACAATAAAAAAACGGAGAATCCGCGCGTCCACATTTACACCAGAACGACTTCCCGAGGAGGGGGAGGGGAGGCTCTTCCTAGGAGGCCGGCACCTGACAAACACAGAAGGGGGTAGAAACAGAGCACCCCCGTTTCACGACCAGCGGCGCAATGATCGATGCAGGCAACAGTCATCCGTGGATGCGAAGGCCGCTAAGGTGCCGGGAAACAGGACTGCCTGAGCCTCAAAACATACCCCGCCCCGATTAGCCATTCACTACAAAGGGGAAAAGGAAGCTTTACGAGGGCGAGATCTGGCAACAGCACTTTTGCCAGCGATGGGACCAAGTGGCATCGTGTGTCCCCAGTGTGAGATGCTGAGAAGGACGTATGTCCCCTATGTAGTGCTCCTGTCAAAAATGTTTAACCTGAATCGAGGCATGAGAAAACCATCAAGCCAATTCGGATGAAAGACAGTCTGTAAAATGGCCCAGATTATTTGAAAATGTCAACATCGTGAAAAACTGAAAAACGCTGGAAATTGTGCTGATTAAAGGAATGAAAGGAGCCTAAAAAGATATGACCGGCACACCTATGGTCCTTGATCGGCTTTTGGACTGACAAAACCAGTTATAAAGGACATTATTAGGAAAACTGATTATTAACTAAAGTTTAGCTAATAGTATCGCATTATTGTTGAATTCGAGCATGATTATCCTTTTGTGGTCATGTGAAGAATGTCCGGGTCCATTGCAGATGCACGAAAGTGAAAATGATACTTATTAGGGTGGTGAGACTGTAAAGGATTTTAAGCTTTAAATGTGCTTTCAGGGCATCGTGTTGTTTTTAAAAAACTAAGAGAAAAACATGAGTTGAAGACGGTGACAGCAAATGTCCCCACCACCTACCTCCCAACTACTTCTGTGTTGGCCCCATCTGGAAGGACTGGGCTGTGGTCTCATGAGGTGTGCTTCCTAGGCATTTTGTTTAAACCCAGAAGCACGAACAGTGTCCATGTCCTCATTCCAGCTAATGCCAGGAACGTTGCTGGTGGGTCCACAAACCTGCCTCTCCCACATTTGGGGACAGAGCTGCACCCGTTAGTCCACAGCCCAAGGTGAACTCAAATCCATTCAATCCAACCAACACTTACGACAAGCCACTATGGGCCAGGCTTTGGACTGGACAAAAAATACGAATGGAACATACCTCCAGCTGTCGGGACCTCAAAACCCAAGGGGTGACACATGTGCCATATATGTGCATGATTCCTTGTGTACTTTACCAATGTAATCAGAGAGGTTGACCTTCAGAGCCTGGATCAGGAGCCCTTCCTCCACCAGCTCCTTATACAGCGATTCAATGGTCCTGGGGACAGAGCACACCGTCCTTCTGTGAGCACACACGGGGTCACGGCCTTTCTGTTGATTGTCACATGTGCGGAGAACTTCAACCCGATATCTACCTTAAAGCACATTTGTATACATGCAGATAAATGGATTTTTGAGGCGTTTCTACAATTTGGGGATGAATCAGGCTTTTTAAAAACAATACTTTCACTCATCCATGTGTATGTCTGATGTTTCCCATTAATAAGAATTACACCTTTGGGCATTCGGGACCAGCCCTAACTCTGCAGTCTGCCTTTCATCAGTCTTCATGACGGCATAAATATGAATTAGAAATTACTCAATAATAGTAACACAATGGGCCCGTAATTATATATTCCGTTAGCATCTGCCAGCCATAGTAGATCATTAATCCTTCATGAAATTGACGTTTCCTTTTAAGCCAATAGTATAATAGCTTAAAAGAAATATCTATAAAGAACAAAGCCTTATAGGGGAAATAGTTCTAGTATGAAATACAAAACGTTTAAAGCTGTGAGTGTGATGATTTTTTTGGAGGATGTTATACTTTTCCATAGTGTGTACAGATGTCAAAACCACTTCTCTAAGAGGCCTTGGGCACAGGGCCAGCACACGGGTAATTTATACTAATTGAGGAAAAAATGGAGATACTGGCCCACTTGATGAATGAAAGTCCCAATGAAATTATCTGGGGCTCGGCTTGCAGGAACTCAGAGAGGTCAAGTTCAAATAATTTTGGCATAATCCCTCGAGACGTTTTGTCTTTTCCCTTTTGTTTTCCAGGGAACTTATTCTTTGGTCCTACCTGACTGACACTGAAGAACTGTAAATATAACTGTATTTAAATAGCTCTCTGGCTGTTCTATGATCTAGGTTAGTGGGATTAAAACAGACTCACTCAAGAATATCGGTTCGATTCTAGCCAAATACCGTTGGGATAAATGTTAATTCAATGACCTCAGTTTTAGATTGACTGGAATTTTATTCCAGTATTTAAAATAGTGAATCCTCTGCTGAGGATAAAAAAAGGTTTTAATTGTAAGGAATTTAGGATAACGGCATCTGACCTATATCAAAGAAATAGCGACTGTAGTGTTTTAGCTTGAATATTGATTTACTATAAACATATAATATATACATAAAATGTTAACATAAAGTTGAAGAAGACTGTAAAACAGTCAAAACAACATAGTAAGAAGCCCAAACAGAAACCTGTATTTGGATCTTTCTGGTGAAATAAATTTTTGTTATGGAATATAACACTTTTAGCTTTAAAACTACCTTAAACTGTGATAAAAATACTGGTGGTTGAAGATTTATTTTAACTCGCTAGAGCAGCAGAAGTCGCCTTCCAGCTTCTTGGCAGAACTAGCCCTAGTCTGGTGACTCAGGGTCTTTACGATTAAAGTGACAAGTCTTCCAGGAATGAGACGACCAGGTATTTCTGTGCTTTGGGGCATAAAAGTGAGTAAAATATACTGGTCTGTCTTCGTGTCGCCAGAGAATCGCGTGCGCCCATTTCCGACAGTTCACTTGCAAAGCCGCACACGCCGAGAATATACTCAGTGTCTAAGGGACATCGTCCGAACGCTGCAGGCATGTCAGCGGTGTGGTTAGAGCAGTATCTTACTCATAGAGCGACACTTTAAATGCCAGAGAATGCAAGAGAGGGATTTTTAACTTCATGGCTGGGTCACACGGGTAGACTTGGTTTTAGCTCTGGTTTGTCATTGGATAAGGCACTTCGTGAGACCTTCTCTACGTGAAAGACTACTCGGTTTGGGGACTAATGTAAGAGCAAAGGGAAAAAGTGGCCTTTAAAAGCTACTACAAGTCACCTGGGGCTCTGTAAGTATGTGTGGGCTGGGCCCTCCTCCAGGCAAGGGACTAAGATGCTCCCAGATCCCCAGGAGAAGTCAGTGTCCGTGGCGGGTGGATGCTCGCCTCCCCAGGAACAGGACACCTGCCAGGCCCCTCTGAGGCAGTCAGCCACAGCATCTCATTCTAGATGTTTCCCCAAACAACAGGTAAAAGTGCAGCCCCGCCTTCCTCTAGG